ATTGTGGAATACTGTGAAGTTTTTTTCTCCCTGAGGAAGATTAAAGAGGAAAAGGAGGAGGCCTGTCTCCCTTCCTAGATAACTGAAACTGAGTATGGAGTTCTTGAGCTTGTCAATACAGTTGTCATGTGGTAACTAGCAAATGGAATCTCAAGTATGAGGCAAATACATGCTTCTGTTACATGAACTCTTCATCCAGTGTATCCTTAAAAGTACAAGTTTATTCAAAACATTTAATTCTGTATGTATTATGGATCTATATAAAATTTGTCATATTTAGAATAGATTTACTCTAGTCCTGTAGTATTGTTCTCTAGTACTTAAAAATGTTTCTATCTGAAGTGAAGATGAAAGGAAAAAAAAAACCCTCAGATAGTGCCACTGACTAAAACTGCAGTAATGTCGATCAGCTTAGTCCATTTGAAAAAACTGTGGTTCACTTTATGAATTTTTCCTTAAGTATTATTGTTAAATTCATCCTTTCTGTCACAGGTGAGTCAGCTTTCTACCCCAAATTATTTATCATTAATTCCCATACTGAAAAAATGTTGGAATATTGCACTTAAGTTAGCAGGACTTTTTCAGCTTAAAGTAGTTACTACTTAATAAATGTTTGAAAATAAACCTAATAAATGCCTCGTATTTGCTTATTGCTTATTGATTTTCCCAGATTTCAGCTCAAGTCACATGTTACCTGTACAAATACTTAGTTAAAATTTGTCCTTAAATTCTTATTTACTCATTTTTTATTGGTTCAACAAATATTTTTGACACGTTATGTAGTAGGCACTGTTCAAACCACTTTAAAAATAACTTCTAGTCTTATTCTAAGATATATGTGAAAGCATAGGTATAATGTTTTTGTATTTTTCTAATATAAAGTTATATGACTATATCACTATTAAAAATGTTTAATGGTCTATGTTCCACCTGAAACAATTTCACATGCCACCAGTGGCACTTTGGGAAAGACTGCTTTGATGTTTATAAAGCACCTTCATACTTAGATAATCCAAGTAGATAATCTCAGTGACCCATAAAGATGTGCACAACTATTTCCATTTGGAGCTCAGGAAAGAGGCAATCCTAAAGACACAAACCACAAGCAGTTAAACCAAGGCTCAACCCTGGTCTCCTAACTCTCAGCTTAGTACTCTTTGCATGATACCATTCCCCAACAACAGGAACTGATGACACTGTAAAAAAAAGGGATGAGGAAGTGAAGAAGGAACAGGGGGGCAACTGAGGTCAGCTGCTTTCTCTCTGCTGTGAAATCTGTGATATGGCTGTGCTGTCTTTTGACCTTTGTGTGACAGCTTAGCCTCAGTACTAAGTACCAGCAAAGGAATCACCAAGAGATTTAATCCTGTTATCGGGGATTAACACCTGAAAGGAGTTTTGACACCTTCTCTAGTTAACTGGCTCAAAAGTGATCTAGGATCTTTAATCCAAATTCTTCTAATATATACTGTAGCTCACTTTCAGAAGGTCATTCTGACTCTCTGAAATGTTTATGTCTTCTTTTATGTCATAGACTTACTTCTGAGATACACTCCATGCTACTGTGCTGACCTCAAATCAAACTGAATTTAATTATCCAATCTCTAATATGTGCCTTGTGAACAAAATAAGCAGCCATAGTTTCAGACTTGTTCAGGAAACTCTTAAACATCCACCATATAATCATGTCTGGCTTTATTGGTATGTTTCTAACCTTACTGAACAGGCTATAGGTCTAGTTATGCCAAAGAATTATTATATCTAAAGAATCTGAAGGAATGAAAGAAGGGATTTAGGAGTTAAAAATTCAGCATATGTGTATATTTATACATGAGATAATATGTGTACTATAAATACATAAAGTTTGGTTATCTTTCTAATTCCTAAATCATATAGGTACACAGTTATACCATGATAGCCATTACTATTAACATCATTGTTAGAATGAGAATATGTTGGCCGATTATGAGTAAAGATATAAAGTCCTCCCCCAATTTCTCACCAAGATAGAAATCAAATAACTTATGAATCTTCTGGCTTGTGAATATATAGGAATATAAGATTATTAAATTCCAGATTAAAATAGTAAGTATCTTAAATTACTTGCTCCTTCAGTGTAAGTTTTATTTAAAAAATGTATGTGTTTAATCTTTTTAATGTTATATTTATGTATTTGATTCCCAGTACTTTCTTTATTTACAAGTTAGCTAATTAATTTATGAGTGTTCATTAAATCATTAAATATGGTTTATATTTGACTAGAAATGGAATTTATTTTGTGGTTCCCTGATACCTTTGGTAGGGGGTTATCTTTAAAGACTTTCTTGAATATTGTGTAAGTGGATGAATATTTTCCCCCCCAAAACACACACTCTTCATGTATTATATTTCACAATACAGAAGAGTACTAAAATTCTGAAACCAAATAAACTGAACATTTACCTCTGGATATGTATGCTCTTATCATATTAGAAATACAAAGTGATATGTATCTTATAGTTCAGAAATCACTCTCATTGCTTTCTCTTTCAAGGTCATTGAATTCTTTATAAATAATATATCTTATTATGAGTACCTTAGAACCTTAGAGGCATATTTAAATTAAGAAATCATGGTGGAAAATTAGTCTTAAAAATCACCAGAAAATTATTCAAGTATAAAAAAATTTTTTGAAGATAAATTTGAGCAAGCATCATCTAAATTTCTGTAAATAAAAATTGGATTTATAATTTGACCTAATTTTTTGCGTATGTATATATAGACAGATATACTTACATGTGTATGTATATATGCATATACACACATATACATCTCTATATAATATATGTGTATTTCGGCATATATTAGAGTTGGTGTGGTAGAGGAAGGTTGCTTTGGAGTCATCCTGAGTTTTGATGCTGGCCATTTAACTTAAACTGATTCCCATCTGTAAAATAACAATACTAGTGTGCATTATTACCACATTAAATAATAAAACAGTGACTTCTACATAAAAAAATGTGCAGGAAATGCTTTTACTGCCCCTTATTACTCACTTAATTAAAAATAAAAATAGGTGATTTTTTAAAAATCACTTGATCTAACTTAGTTTTTAAAATCGAGACCATTGGGATAAATTTTCATTGTGGCATGTTGTGTTATTTCACTGTGAATCTGCTTTCTGTTGCCTGTATCAATCCCTTCTGAGATCTCTCACTATACCAGTTTGTATCTAACAGAAGCTCCTATTATAGGAGAGCTTCCTCCTTGCTGCCAGGAAACTAATTTAAATATAAAGGGAATTAGCTATAAATTAACATAAATTAATTGTGAGCTATCTTTCATAATTTCTTTGTGTGAGTGAGTACAGGATGGAATCCCATTTCTAACATTAAATGTGAAAAGGTATCCAGGCACCTTTAAAAAAAAAAACACATGGATATATTCATCTTACTTAAGTTTTTCCAGTCACTCCAATAAGACACTTGACTACTCCTGTAGAAATATTATTGGAACAAAGTTATCTCTTGTTCTGGCACATAATAGATTGAGTATCCGCAGTGAATTTGTGTATGTAAGGTATTTGGATCCTTTGGGACAAAATACAGAAGTCATGAAAAGGAAACTATTTCCATTATTTGACTGTTATTCTCACTGAATAATTAGAAATGCTTGTTTTCAAACTTGACAATGGAGACCCTTTGTTAATAATCATCACTGTGTACTAGATTTGAAGAGGTCAAAGAAAGTTATTTATGAACGGTATTCATGAGTCAGGAAGATTCAAAGACAAAAGTTAATCATTTCCTTGTTTATTAGAGTGTATTTTCTTACCCGTTAGGTTTCTTGGCAACCTCTGAATTTTTTTTATTAAAGGAGTACAGGGTGGGGGAAAACTGGGTTAAGGGGTGGGGGGGGTACTTAATTTGAAGCTATATTTACACAGCAAGCAATACTGTTTCTACTGAGATTGTGTTTAAGATCAGTAAAAGTTACAGTGCTTTTCTAAGTGTGTTTTTATTTGCATGTTAAATTTCCTACTTGTTAACTGTTTTCCTTAGGAGAAGTGACTTCAAGAACTATGATAGAGATTATTAGAGGCAGGTAGCAAAGACTTCGCCTCCCTCCCCACTAATCCCGCAGCCACCAGTTGGTGACTCACAGTGATGAGGCAGCAAGTGTCATAAGGCCTAGGCTGGCAGTGTTAAAGCAGGACCTGGGGAGGACACGCCCATCAGGTGTAGCCACACCCTCTCTCCGCATCCCTAGGGACTACATGCAGCCTCCTGCCCTACTCGTTTTTTTTTGTCTGGCCTCGGCAGAGCCTAACACACACCTATGTGATACTAGCTGTTCTGTGCTTGGCCGTGTTCACCATGCTTGTTGTATTTTAATTCTCACAACAATTCTAGCAGGAAGGTAGGTATTAATGTCCTTGGGAAATTTTTCTTGAAGTGTCTTTATTTTTAAAAGGCAAAGCTTTGGCTAACAGCAAAGATTTAACAGACTAAATAGTTCTCTAAATTATCCAAATTTTAGGAGGCTCTGGAAATTTAAGGGTGTTATTCATGCTAGAAAGTGAGAAGGTCAGATGCAAACTTCTATGTGCTGGCTCCAAAGCCCAGCTCACCCTCACTCACCACCGCTGTTGTTCATCTGATGGAATACAGATTCACAGGTGCTGAGCATCAGGCAGTGCAAAAAGCAGACCAGGATCTCTGACTTACATGATTTTGTGAATTAAAGGTTATTTAAGTTCCAACTTTTGTTCTTCAAACATTACTTTGAAAATGTTGACATTGTGAAAGCCACCCAGTCTTTCATTTCCGTTGATGTTGCAGCCTGGAGCCGCGGAATCAACCTGTGCCCCAGCGAGGACAGGACTCTTGACAGGACAGTGAGGGTTAAGCCTCCCTTCCCCCAGTGCCGTACAAGCACCTGCTTGCCTGGCAGGAAAGTAAAAACAGTGTTAACAATTGCAGGTCTGGGTAATGTGGTCTGGTCTTCATGCCTTCACTCAGGTGGAGCCCGAGAAGTTGAAGACACTAACGGAAGGTTTAGAAGCCTACAGCCGAGCCCGGAAAAGGAACAGAAAGTAAGCACAACTTTTTTTTCCCATTTTGTTTTTCAAGGATATACTTTACTGGCTTTCCTTCAAAGGGACAATGAAATCTCACTGACTTAGTCCATCTTGAGCCCTACCTAAGTACAATTTAATAGTTATCATCCAAGAGGACCATTACAGATGAAATAGCTCCTACAGAAAATATTTTTTGAAACAATTTATACTGTGTGTGGGACTTGCCTCTTCATCAGCTCTTCCCTTACTCCCTCCATCTCCATCCCTCTCACTTGAGGGGAAAGAAAATATGATTAATATTCTCAATATGTAGCAATGAAATAGTCTCTGAAAGTGTAGTGAAAGTGTATCCCTTTGTAATTCAAATACTTTGGGAGGGGAAATAACCCCCCTTGTTGTACACATGTGAATAATTTTGGCAGATTACCTGTTAGTCAAAGTGATGATAAGTAATTATTTTCTTGGAGCAGGGGCAATAGACTTTCTTTGGAATTATAATATGAAGTTGAACTTTGGGACGTTATTCTTAATTATTCAAGTTTTTCCAGATCTTTATATTTTGAGTAAACGTAGTATTGACAAGTAGATAATGTTCATTACACAACTTGTATGTAATACAATGTAGTCATATATCATAACTATTATTTCACTTTAAGATAGAGAACTATAAATGTGCTTCTGTATATGTACATGGAAAATTATGTTAATATATATCATCAATATACCTACTCAGCTACCATAATTTTTATATTATCAAATGTCTAAGAATTATGAAATTGTAATGATTAGCAGTGTATCTTGTATAAAAGACTTATGTAATGATAATGACATCGCAACAAATTTTGGGGAAACTCTCTTCACCTCACTAGAATGTTTCATAAAAGAGATGTCAACTGCAGTGGGTTAACTCCTGTGTGCCTATGTTCAAGACTCCTTTGGAAGATGGCAAGTTGGCAGTGGTTTTGGTGAGGGCCAAGTGAGTTGCCAGATTCACTATAGATCTGATAAAGCACACAGTGAGTCAAGTCCCCTCTATTCTGACTGAAGTGACACAATGAAGGCCTTAGTAGTAGGATAAAGCCTATAAAATTAATGCAAGGTCTGGATGAAAAGAGGGAAATTGCAAGCTACCTACATCACGAATTTTCATTGGCCATTTGCTTTAGAATATTGTTCAATAGTACTTGTTTATTAGAAGTAAAATATCCCTGAAATCTTTTCTTCAGTGAGATATGCTAGTTATCTGGATTATGTGAAACATATCCAAAACTGTTGATAACACAAATATTTAGATATACTGCCTTGAAATGAGCTGTATTTTCCTCATAAATTTGCTATTAAGCAATTTCTGAAAGGTAATAAGTAACAAACAGCAACGTAAAACATTTCCTTCAAAGCCAGCTTACTATCTGAGGTGAATTTATATGGGTCCTAAGTAGCATTATCTAAAGGAACTGAGGTAAAAGACAAAAATATGAAGCAAAACAGCTTTGTTTATCTGACTGTTGTCTAAGTAGAAGGACTTGCCTTATAATGCCTAGTAGAATACTTTACATTTTGCATATATGATTTAAAATCCATTATTCTATTCTCCCAATCAGAAGATGGGCCAGAATTACTGAACCCATTTTTGATGAGGACACTCAGACTCAAATAGCTTAAATAATTAGGTAAAGGCCACATAAGTGACAAATGGTATGTTGAACCCAATCATTTATTTATTTAATCATTTATTTATTTTCCAAGTCAAGGAGACTGATTTAGCAAAAGAATCTATGCCAACCAGGCACAATGCTATAGTCCCAGGACTTCACTGTTTAGTGAAGGAGGCAGATTTAGAAACAAATAATTAAAATGTTAAATTTTCAGTGACAGGAATAAGTGTAGTATATTTTGGGATCACAGAGAATTGACATTAAACTCGTAATGGAAGATGTCCTAGAGGAGATGATATCTCAGCCAAGCCTTACACACTACATAGATATTAGCCAGACACAGGAAATAAGGACACAATGGGATGGGTTGGAATAGTGTTTAGATGAGGTCGGCAGTTAGATTTGGAGGACAGGAAATTGTAAGAGATGGAACCAAACGTATAAGCAAGAGCCAGACCATGAAGGGCCTGGTAAGGCCTCAGAGGTCTTTACATTATTGGAAGTGCCTAAGGGGACAGATGGTTGAATTTTTCACTTTAGCTATGGCTGTATGGAGGATAAATTTTAGGGGAACAGTATTGGAGGCAAGGACATCCATTTAGAAGGCCATGTCAGAGAACAAGAGAGGAGGAAGACTCAAACCAGGCGGGGACCCATGAGAACAGAGAAGAATGTAGTCAAGAAATATTTAGGAGATAAAATTGACAGAACATCATGGTGAATAGTTGGAATGTAAAAGAGAATAGGTAATCAAAGACAACTCTCAGGTGCTTCTTGGGCAGTGGAAGCAGTGAAATGGGGCATACAGGAGAAAACTGTCGAGAGCAACGTGAGGTTCCTGTGATTCCACAGACACAAGTCTGAAACTGGGAAGAAATGGTCTTTGACTATGAAAAATAACTTCAGTCACACAGAGGTACTTTGACCAATTTGAACAATGGACTAAAGAGCAAATGCTGGGGCATTTGAACATTTACTAGAGATAATGAAAGAGATGGAAATAATGATCAGATAGGAGGAGGAAAACCAGAGGGTAGGGGAATAGGGTGTTAAAAGCCAAAGACCAAGAATTTCTGGGATAATACAATGAAAAACAGAGGTCCAGTAAGAGAAGATCTGAAACATCTCCATTTGGACTGGGCAGTTTGGAGGCCGTTGGTGACCTCAGTGAAAACAGTTTCTGGTAGAATGGCACATATAGAAATAAAGCGGCCATGGATTGAAGAGTAAATAAAAAGGAATAGAGAGAGTTGGTATCTATTATTTACTCTCCTTTCTACCCTTTATGTGGAAAGTTCCCGAAGAATAACTGGAAAGGAATTTGAGCTAACAAATATCTGGCTAGTTTTATAGACAAGGAGAAAGAAAGTAAAAAAGGAAGGTGGCATTGGAACAAGGTGGCTGAAAATTTGGGTTTTGACCTGAGTTCAAATGTTTCCATCACTACCTAGTTGTGTGTACTCTTGAGTATGTTGTTTAACCTCTCTAAGTCTAAATACTTCATTTCTAAAGTGTGATATTAATACCAACCTCCTAGAATTGTTATAATATAAAGAGACCCTTAGCACAGTTCTTGGCACATGGTATTTAGTAAACCATTATTTTTCTTATAAAGATATAGGTGAAACAAAATGATTACATATTTTTACCATTTGAAACATTCTGTCACCATATTTGATGTTTAGAGCATTATATAGTTATTTAACCCTCTATAGGCTATAATCATACTATACAATAAAATATCTTTAAAGTGATTTGCTTATTACTGCCTAATCACAAAAGAAATATTTACATATTTATTGAATAATTACTTAGGGTCATTTTGTACTTAAAAGTGGAAAAAGCTCCATTAAAGAAAAAATTTGTGTAACGATATGATTTTTTTTAAGTGAGGATCAAATCTTCTCTCTTTATGTACATATATATGTATTCAGTAACCTTATTTTTGTGAATCTGGAAAGTGATAAAGTGATAACGTAAATGTAAAAGTGCTTAAGTAAACACTTTAAAACCAACAAATGATACTTGTTGTATTAAATTTTCTTTATTTTTTTAAATTGAAATTAGTTGATTTATGGTATTTTATTACCTCAGGTGTACAACATAGTGATGCAATATTTTTATAGATTAAACTCTGTTTAAAGTTATTATAAAATACTGGTTATACTCCCTGTGCTGTATATCTTTGTATCTTATTTTATACCTAATAGTATGTACTTCTTAATCCTGCTCCCCTATCTTGCCCCTCACCCCACCCCTTCCCTACTGGTAACCACTAGTTTGTTCTATGTATCTGTGAGTCTGTTTCTTGTTTGTTATGTTCATTTTTTGTTTTTTAGATTCTGCATGAAAGTGAAAACATACAATATTTTTATTTCGCTAACTTACTTCACTAAGCACAATACCTCCCACGTCCATCCATGTTGTTGCAAATGGTGAAGTTTCATTCCTTTTTATGTGTAGTAGTCTTAATGTGTGTAATATATACTTTGTGGTGTATGTATATACACATACCACTTTATCCTTTCATCTATTGGTAGACACACTTAGGTTGCTTCCATATCTTGGCTATTGTAAATAATGCTGCTGTGAACATGGGGGTACATGTATCTTTTTGAACTAGTGTTTTCACTTTTGTTAGTTCTCCTCCCTTCAGATGTGGGCAGGGATATGCACACTGGCAATGACTGCCTCTGCCCTGGTCAGAGGGTCTGTGCATCTCTGTTCCCTCTAAGTGTGTGCGCTCTCGTTGGCAGTGGCAGCCTTTACTATAGTGGAGGGCTGTGCCAGAGCAAGAAGAGCTGGAACAGGGGCCCAGTGCAGGCCAGAGAGTGTGCTGGCAAGCCAGCCAGCACCAGGCTGTTTCCAATCTGCTGCCCCTCCACTGTGCTGGAGCAGGGAGGCAGGTGGGGGTGGGGTGGGAGTAAGCAAGCCTGTGCACATGCATGCACACTTCAAAAGCAGAGGCTCGGTTTCTAGCAGCCCTCCAGTAAGCCCTACCTGTTTTCAAGCCAGCTAAGGGGCTCATCTTCCCAGAGCTGGACCCCAGGGCTGGGGTGCCTGAAAGCTATATTGAACTCCATGCTCCCCAGGGAAGATCTCCAAGCCTGTGATACTGCCTTCCTGTTCTGTGTGTAGCTTTTCCTCCTAGTAGCTTTTGCTCCCTTCCTTTAGTTGTAGAAAAGTCGTTATGCCAGTCTCCACGTCATTTTCAGTGAGAGCTACTCAACATGTAGGTGTCTTTTTGGTATATTCATTGGGGGTGGAGGTGGGGAGTAAGCTCAGTGTCCTCGTATACTACCATCTTGATCTCTCATGTGTTAAATTTTCTTAAATCTGCATACTTTCCCTACGGATTAGGTTTTAGAATCCAAGATTCTTGACATTTAGGTCTGATCCAAGTTTGTTCTGGTCTACATGAAGTGAGTTGCTTAAATTCTGAACTGATAGTCCAGAGCAATGTACAATTCTCACTTCCCTCTTATTTCTCATACTATTCACAGATGTGTACCTGGCTTTTTTTTTTAATTAATAAAGATAAGGATAATGTGTGACAATATAGGCAATGAAGATGAGAAGTGGCAATTATCTCCATTAATAACTGGAAATGTGATTATATGAACATCTATTGCTTAATCAAGTAGCTTTTAGAGTGTCCATTAGTAAAAATGTTTATTATTAAATGTCAGTGGGGAAGAGAAAATAGTAGAAGAGACTCCACAAGGAGGGCCTCTGGACTAGAAGATTGAATTTTGACTAATTATTCATTTCATGGACTCATGGAGCTTTTTCTTCCTCTTTTAAACTCATTCTTTCCTGATTTGACCAGCTAGTGTGAATATGGTATGCAGATTTGACATCCGGAAAGTCTCTCTATACCTCTTGATTCCCATGATATATTCATGTATCTTCATGGCCCTTATCTCCATATTTATTCTCTCTTCCAAAAGTAGTCATTTCACCCTCTAATAACTACTTAAGTTTGTTAAAGGAAAAACATTATACTAATTACCTTAAACTAATACAAGGAGTTTATAAATATTTTAAATATCTTGTTGAAGAATGAACTCACAAACTCCTAAAATTTTGTCTATTCATTCAGCAAATAATGTTGAATTATTTTTATACTTTAATGGTGATGCTGTTGAGATTTTTCATATTAAAGGACAAAACTTTTATGACTCAATTACTTTTGAAGACTATTTATAATTAAATATCTTCTTTGTCATAAAATTATAATTGGTTTCACCAAGTTTCCCTAAAAAATCAAGTGTGCTGTACAAACAGCTGTTGTAATACCTACTTCATTGAGTTGTTATAAGGATTAATGAAATAATATATATAAAGATTTAATATGATTCCTGGCATATATAAAAAAGTGAAAGTGTTAGTCGCTCAATCATGTGCAGCTCTTTGTAATCCCGTGGACTGTAGCCTCTGACTATGGATTTCCCAGACAACAATACTGGAGTGGGTTGCCATTCCCTTCTCTAGGGGATCTTCCCACCCAGGGATTGAACTCAGGTCTCTCACATTGTAGGCAGATTCTTTACCATCTGAGCCATCAGGGAAGCCTTAAAATATTCAATAATACTGGCTATTTTTGTTATTAAAGGTGAGAGAACCAAGATTCTCTGATGGTTTTTAACTGAAATACTTTCCTTTTTCTTTTTAGACATTTAGACTTCTATGTAGTCAATTTTAAACCCATAAGATAATATAATAAAAATGTATAACAAATATCTTTTAAAACTTATCTTCATACTTTTATACAAATACAAAAGAAATAGTAAAGATAAAGCTGTTTAACACATTGCACAAAGCGTAGTATTGTCAGATAGCTGAGCAGTATGTGATACTTGTCAAGACCTTTGCTAAACAGTCCACAAAAGGGGCCCTGACCCAGCCCAACTCTAGCTCAGCTTAAATAGCCCTACAGAGTCCTGGGATTGCATTCCTCCCCAGAATCATGCTTAGCAAACTCCTTGGTGGGAAAACAACTCAGCCTGACCCCATGAGATGACCAGGGCCCTGTAAAACTGGAATAAATAGGTGAATAAAAGATAGCATGTGAATAGATATCAACTTGGACATACTCAAAAATAGCAATAAAAGGAAAAGAGATAAGTTGTAGAATGGTACTTATATCAGGACACATTTGATATGATATATATTTAAAAAACACATAAAAGGCAATAATAGGTACTGTTCATGGATATATAAAATATTAAAACACACTGTAGGAATGCACAGCTTCTCTTGTGGCTCAGATGCTAAAGAATCTGCCTGCAATGAGGGAGACCCAGGTTCCATCCCTGGGTTGGGAAGATCCCCTGGAGAAGGGAAAGGCTACACACCCCAGTATTCTTGCCTAGAGAATCCATGGACAGAGGAGCCTGGTGGTCTGCAGTCCATGGGATCACAAAGAGTCGGACACAACTAAGCAATTTCACTTTCTTTCTTTATAGGAATACACAACACAGTTGCCTTTGTGGAGGAGGGTGGGAGAGAATGAGACTAGGAATTGATATCAAATGGGAACTTTAGTTAAATTTTTTAATAAAAAAGAATTAAAAGAAATATGTAATTTATTAGCAGTTTATTTTTGGAGATAGGTTTGATCGAGGTTGAAAACTTATTCTATGCACTTTTCTGCATTGTTTACATTTTTAAAGTTAAATGGGAAGAATATAAAAACTGTAGTCTAGCTTTCAGGCCAACAAAAGATAAGGTTGATGCTGCGTTGCTCTTATAGTTCAGTTACAATCTTTTCTTTCAGTTAAACTGACTTAAGTGCATACAAGTTTCCCAGAACACAGAGCCATTGTTTTAGCTTTGGACACATGTTTATTTAGACACCATATGGAGCATCCACGGTGTATATACCTAGCAGTATACTCCTCAACGATTATATACAGAAACTAAATGCGTGAATTGTCCAGTCCTGGTGTATGAGGGTAAAACTTGGTGAGGACTGTGGTAAACCAAAAGGCCTCATCTAGAAGCATTCCACTAAAGTTCAAATATGTTTTTAAACACAATGTGAGCCAAACTAAATGGGACTATGAGCCAAATTCGTCTACAACTGCAAATTTCCAATCTCCATGTGAATGCTGGGCTAGGACTTAACTCTTGGAAAGCCATTTACCTCTCCACCTTTTCTAGTGATCGTCGTAATGAGATAAATGAAATGAATCACCTTAGTACTCAGAATAATTGGGTAATTCTTTGTATACATCAAGAAGGAACAGTTAGAGTGGACATAATTCCTAGAGGTGGATAGTGTGGATTTGCCTTATTTTAGCAATTAGCTCAGTAGCTTCCTAGTTAAGCATTTCAGTCATGGCAGATGCTTCGTGTGTTAAATACCTGTAGTGGTATGCTGAAAGTGAAGTGAAAGTGAAGTCGCTCAGTCGTGTCGGACTCTGCGACCCCATGGACTGTAGCCTACCAGACTCCTCCGTCCATGGACTTTTCCAGGCAAGAGTACTAGAGTGGGCTGTCATTCCCTTCTCCAGGGGATCTTCCCAACCCAGGGATCAAACCTGGGTCTCCTGCACTGCAGACAGACGCTTTACCGTCTGAGCCAGCACGGAAGCCTGGTATGCTGAGTAGAGACAAAAGGTCAGATGAGTGACAGACATTCTGAGACCATCGTTCTTTATCTTCTCAAACAGTTTTGTCATTTTGTTTTTGGGGAGGCGGGGGCAGGGAAATGTGGCAGAGCCTCAGGTGTGGCGAGTTAAGCTGTTTCCCACCTGGAATGACTGCACCAGGATTTCCACCTTCATTTGCTGAACTCCTGAAGCCAGGATGCTCCAGAGAGGGCAGAGGGAGCTCCCTAGTGGCCAGAGCCTGCAGTTTCGAGCCCTTCCTCCAGCCACACAGCCTGAGAAAGACAAGCCAGCACAAAAGGCAATGCGGAGCAGGCTGGAATCTAAGAGCACAAGCTCCGCCTGTGGAAACAGAGACCCATTGCCCAGCTTCCTTACAAAATCATCAGACAGCCGAAGAAACATGTGAAAGGGAAAGAATCCACTTTCCCTAATCATGTGTTCAATTTTTTTTCCCTGTAGTTATGTGACCTTATCATTGGTGTTCAGTCCTGAGAATCCCAGAGTGTTTTGTCATCAGAATTGTCCAAATGTGAATATAAATTGACTTTCTGTCATGGAATTGGTACTTCTGTTTTCTGATTAGGGAATTAAATTGAGATTTTTGTTTCTTTAATTTTTTAATCTGCTGTGTTGTTTTCATTAATTCCAGAAGTGGAAAGCTAAATAACCATTTAGAAGCTGCTATTCATGAGGCCATGAGTGAACTGGACAAAATGTCTGGGACTGTAAGTTAATTTATTTTTCCATTATACTGTGTTTCTTTGAAAATAAATTGTATTATACTTTTTGGTAAAAGTCTCTTAAATATTGTCAGTCAACTCACGTAGCAATACTAAGTTAGTGGACTCAAAAAAGACTGATATCAGAAAAAATTAAAAATATCTTAAAAAATAACCTAGTGGTATTAACTGTGTATCTTTTCTGAGGTAAGTAACTTTTTTCCTCACATAAAATACTTTTTAAATGTGTGCAGCAAAACATTGAAGTTAAAATCATAGCTTTTGGGCTTTTGACTCTGACAATAGCAGTGATTATTAGTGTTGCCTAAGTATTCAATAATATAAATTTCACTCTACCATAGAACAAAAAGGGAAATTGAACATAGGGTCAAGATCAAGAGTATATAGTCATCTCATTTCCTTTCTGCTATTACCTAAAAATATATTAAATATTTGGCCCCAAATCCTGTTGTTAAATTATTGATATTTAACACTATAACCTCTGGTTTTAAAGTGTCTACTTACCCTTTACATTTTTATTGCATGTTGCATGTTATAGTGTTGAATGTGAGTTTAATCATCATTCTCTAATTTACATATTGACTAACATAAACACTCAAACTAAAATTTTGATAATCTCTAAAAAATGTGAATTATCAAAAGCTAATCAGCAATGAAAGGGTGATTTCTTTTACTTTTAGTTGATATTGTGTTAACAAGGTTATATGAATCCTAACAAGCCATCCAGTGGCTACTGAATGACAGAGATAAGTTTTTACACATTCATAGTGTATTGGTATTGGTACAAGATTTTGTGATCCAAACCATCATTTCAAAGATGGGTAAATTGAGGCCCTGAGATGTTTAATTTCCTGCTAGAATTATAGGAAAACTCTGGAGCAGAGATTATAAACTCAAACACCTTCTGTGTGTATGCATTAGTCACTCATTCGTGTCCTACTCTTTGCAACCCCGTGGACTATAAACCACCAGGCTCCTCTGTCCTTGGAATTGTCCAGGCAAGATACTGGAATAGATTGCTATTCCCTTCTCCAGGGGATCTTTACGACCCAGGGATCAAACCCAGGTCTCCTGCATTGCAGGCAGATTCTTTACCGTCTGAGCGACCAGGGAAGCCCCTGAAACACCTTCTAGGGCTGGGAAAATAGTATCATTACGTACAGGGGATCAGGTTTAAGTGAAACAGTGATTTTAGTGGATTAAGAAATGCCAACCAAGATGCCCTGGTCAAGGTAGGCTACGTACCAACTCTCAGTCTTAGAGGCTTAATGCCTTAAAAAGGCTGTTCCTCACTTGGGTCTCATTCTGGTTGAGGAAGTCTTGCTTCACACAGTCATTCGGGGGCTCAGGTTCTGTCCTTATCTAGTGTCCCCCATTCCCTAGGGCCTCAGAGTGCTCCGTCACATCCTTAGCATCCAGCCCAGCAGCAAGAGAGAAAACCAAGTACCCAGAGGACGGCAGGATAAGGTGTTATGGGCCAGACTGGGAAGTTCATCTGTTTCGTTGACTTTCCACTGGTTTGACCCAGTCATGTGACCTTCTTAATTCAAGGGGACTGGTAAAAGTATTGTACACCATGCCTGCTCAGGAAGAAGAGAAATGTGTTTGGCAGGCATCTGCTTAATCTCTCTCTCAAGATCTTTGGCCTTTGTGGCCAGCAAGCAGTCAGGAGTGATGGGGGCCATGGCAACCTGGGGGCTGTGTTCTCTCTAGGAGCTTCTGCTTCCATGCTGCAGCAAGCTTGAGCCATGTGGGGAACTGTGCCAGTGTTGCAAGATCTTCCCATTTTTTCATGAGACACTGCAAGTCTGAAAGTAAAAATTCTCATTCTTTAGTGTTGCCAGCTATTTTTAAAATATTAAAACACCGTAGGGCTAAACACAATCCCTTTCTAGGCTGCATTTGGTTCACAGGTTACTAATTTGCAGCTTTGAATTAAAGCTTCTTTCCTCAATTTTAAAAAGGTTTCAATGGACTCTTTATCAGAGACTAGTGGTTTTAAAGAACGTATATGGAGCATTTAGGAGGATGAGGCACTGTGAGAAACTCATTGGTGTTATTTTTTAAATATAATACTTTAAAAAGTTTTCCGGGGATTTCCCTGCCAGTCCAGTGGTTAAGACTTTGCCTTCCAGTGGAGGGGGGTGTGGGTGTGATCATTTGTCAGGGAGTGAAGATCCCACATACATCACAGCCAAAGAATGAAAACATAAAACAAAAGCAATATTGTAACAAATTCAATAAATACTTTAAAAATGGTCCACATTTTTAAAAATCTGTAAAAAATAGCTTTCTGTATTTGATTCTGAATAGCAGTGGTCCTTGCTGTTACATTATCTTTACAACATGCAGTTGAGCCAACTTGTAATGGATCTTTAGAGCTGATTTTGCCCATCTCTTCTAAGCCTGAGTTCTATGATATCACATTGGTAGCTTGAAATTGGCCATGGTAAAAACATTTATACCACAGAGATTGGCATACACTACAATGGACTTATATTTCTCCACGGGGAGCTGGTCATTAAGCGTGTACTATACCACTGCCTTGGGCGCATCCTGCCTCCCCTGGATCTTGACCTTGTCCCCTCCTGTCAGTACCACAACAGCCTCAATACAATGTGGGACACCTGACCCACCTCTGCCCCTAAAACCAGACCTGCTGTCTGATACCTGGGAATCAAGTTCTGCTCTTCATCCACCTCTGTGCAATCTGATGCACAGCCTTAAATGCTACTAGCTTCCCTGTTAGTATATAAAGATAAGTTGTATGCATTGCTTTTCCCAGACTACACAAGTTTAGATTTGCCAACAGATGGTAGGGGTATTCTGTTTTCCATCCTTATTCTTCTCATAAGTAAACCTCCTTGGGCTGAGCTGTGTGCATGTTCTTATCATCTTTGACCCTTCTTAGTAGTTATGAAATAAGTCCAGTGATGAAATAAAGAAGAAAATGTTTAGTATATATTTATCCACTTTTCCAGAACCCCAGTGAAGTTAGTGATCCAGGGATCTCTGATGGGAAAGGTCTTATTTTCGTCTTCAGTGGACAGCAGGGGTAGCAACTGCACATCTCCTTTCCCACTTTGATTTTTTTCCAGTTCCTCTTTTGTATTCCACTGGTTGGGAGATCCACAGAGTGTTCCTCTGCTTGTCAGTTTCCAAGATTCCTCATCCTCTGTAATGACTGTAGGCACACTGAGATCTGAGTCTTGTAAAAGTGTTAAATGCCTCAAGATAGCTGTGATTGAAAATGAAAGCCAGAGTCTGCTGCCTACCCTGTTTCTTTGTCAGAAATCCTATGGTGTTTGTGATTTCAATCTCTGTTGTTGTTGTTTTTTCCCTACCTCTTTATTTCCAGGTTCACCAAATCCCACAGGGAGACAGACAGATGAGACCCCCCAAACCCAAGAGGAGGAAGATCTCCAGATAACAGGGACTACTCCACCAATGCGCAGTGTTTATTAAAGGAATGTGCACAGATATGTCTGTAGATAAGTATTGATATAGCCACTGTTATATCAATATTTATTCTATGGCAGATAGTTACCACCACCACAGGGTGCTAAAAGAAACAGTGATACAATATTTTTTTGATCAGGAAGGATAAAGAATGCTGGAAGACCGATCAGAATCCCTGAATGATGAGAGTGGTAAATGGTCAAGAGATTACTGAGAAACTCTTTTTCTATAATACTAAAATTGTGATTATAAGAAATAGTCCAAATGTTTCTGAAAAATTTTCAATGTTGTATATAGAAAATACAGAATTTCCTGGTGACATCAGAAATGTAAATATTGTACAATATTGTCATGTACAAGCGTACCTAATGCACACTTTATCTTTTATTGTACAAAGAAATAGTGTACAAAATTCTTTGGTTTCTATGGAGTACACCTACCAGAGACTACAAGTGTAAAGTGATAAATAAAAATACAACCTAAATGCTTTTCTATGATAATGTAAAAGATGCTGTTTTTGTATTTAACAGCAGAGAAAAGGCATGATGATGTATTACCTAAATTATGACATACACTGCACACCACCGAGTGTCCATTTATATTGTCTGTTTGGAATGAACCTTGCCTGGAAGCACTGGACTTGATTTTGGGTGTCTAGGAAATTGAAACCTTGCAGATTTCTAAAGGGACGAGGGCTCACAGATCTAAATTAAGAATTCAGAAACTGCAACCATTTGTTGCATATTTTTTTTACCTAAGTTTTAAAGTAGAATAGGTTTTATAAAAAAATCTTAGATGGGATATTTTACTCAGTCATTTCTGTAGTTAACATTTGATAGCCACCTGTTGAACTAGAAAACTTACGCTGCACCACCATTAATGCTCAGAGTTGAGGTTTTTTTGCAAACAGTACCTGACAAGATAACACTTTCTGTTTCCATACCTGGAGGCAAACCCCCATTTTGAAACATTTATCAGAGGTAAGGTTGATTATACAGTTTTTCTGTAGTAGCAAAAATAAATGCAAATAATCAAACCAAGTTTCATATCCATTCATCAGTATTACTTATACCAGAAGTTAAGGTGGCTTACAAAATTATTAGCAATGGTAATTTTTTATCAGTATTATGTAACATATCAGATTTATTTTATTTAAAGAATTATTTATACCATTAACAGATTCTTATATATATTAATGTGGCTGAAATGTGCAGGTTGAATCTATTAACCAAATTATTTATATTATATTAAGTAAGTAAAAAAATGTGAAACAAATGTAGAGAGAAAATACTACATTGCAAGTATACAAAACCTAAAACTGTGAGCCATTGTAAAGTACAAGGTTATTAATAAGAAATGTAGCACAACATAATTTTCCGTCTTTTTTTCACATTTTCTTCTTCTTTTTTTTTTTTTTTTTGTGGTGGCGGTGTAACCCTATCTCCCAGGCGATGGAGCCAAGTTAACCACCCCCCCGCCCCCGCCTGAAATTGATTGGGTTGGATTCTATTGACGGATAGTCAAAGGAAGGGATTCCTTATCCTTTTGTTCTGGTATAGAACCACCAGCCCCAACTCCAAACCCTTAACCCCCTGGAGAGGACTGCCTCTTCCCCCAGCTTGGGGCTCCAGCCACTGGGAGGCCCTCCAGTGGCAGACTCTGAACCCCTGATGTCCACCACCTCCCTCTCCTCTTCTCTCATCCACCTCTGCAACTCCTCCATCCCATGATGTAGCAGAGTTCCAGTCACTCAGGAAAAAGGAGACCAAGGTCATTCCTCCATTTGATTTCTCGGGGCCACAGCACAGAGCACTCCACGGAGCTCACTTTTGGTATCAATAGCTCTTAGTTCTTCCCCAGGTCTCCTGTGTCTCTCTGTCCTTTCCATTTCCACCCTCACTCCTACCTCCCAAGCCTGACAGAAAGCAACTGGTTACACTGGGCTTCACAGCCCGGAGGCAGGAACCCTTCCTTCTAGGGGTAGGTTGAGTTGTCTTTGATGTAATAGTGGATTGTCTGCCTGGTCTTTCCCACAGTCCCCTGAAGTCATCTTCTGTGTACTTTAGTTGACATATTTTTGTTATAAGTTGATATGTTTGGTATGTTTAAACCATTAATGTCTCCTTTTTTTTTTTTTGCACCAACCTGCTTTTTTCTTGGTTTGTCTACACAGGTGTTTTTATTTACAGATTCACAGCATATGTGTGTGTGTGTGTGTGTGTGTGTGTATTGGGTATGTCTATATATATGTGGATGTTCGTGTGTGTTGACATGTGGAAGTTTTTTCTCTTCAGACTAAGTTTGTGTCTACCAAGCCTTCTTTTGGGTATTTTTGAGCTAATTAGGTTTGTGCTTTCCCCCACCCATGTATACTTTACATCAGTAGACCATGTAAAGTATGTCTGTGCCCATGATTTCACTGGTTGCTTACCACTGGTTGTGAGTTCTAGGTATTGTTTCAGTCCACATGGTTTTTTTTTTTCTCTCTCTCTCTTCTATAGTTCTATGGTTTCATGTAAGCAGTTAATGTAAATATTGTTAGCATTACAAGTCATGCAGTGCTGTAACATTTCTTTTTAAATGTTGCACCTACTTTACAATTAAAAAATTGGTCACTCATACTTGAATTTTGCCCATAGAGCCATTTCTTTCTCTTTGTATTAAAGCCTATTCATTTTTAAAAAATGAAGGCTAGCCCTCTACATTATTACATTTTTTTATTCCCCAGAATAAAATTTTTTCAACAAATCGGAGAATGGAAACAGAATGAAAAATTTTTGCTCATTTAAAAAACATATAGCCCCTCTTTGAAAAGGAAAACTAATTTTATTTTGTGCCCTTTAACAGTCTTAGGATGCACAAGAAGAATAAACTATACCTTTAAGTGGTTTTTAAGATTATTTCAAATGAGTGAAATCTAATTGAGCAGCTCTTATTTAATTTGTCTTGTTTGTAGTATTAAAAGCAGTCAGGGTTTCTGTTTATTTAAAGGAACATTTTGGTTTGTACTTTTCAGTCCTATTGTGCATGTAAATTCTTTGAGAAGAATATTCATCCCTTGTGACATCATGGGCCACTTTTAGTCTTTTATTTGAACCCCAACTTTGAGTTATTTGCTGTGTCTGTTTTTTAAGTAAACACAAGCTTCTTTTTTGAACCTAACACTGCAGAATTTTGAGATGAGTGGAGAGTGGTTTTTCTGCTTTCTGTAACGTTTATGAAGATTCTCAGCTGACTTATCCCATGAGATGATTCTTTTTCGTTTCAGACCATGATAACATATTGTAGTTAACTTTGGAAATCATCCATTCAGTTTGCAAAGTTCCCTTGTAAATCACAAGTGGTTTTGCATTGAGATTTTTAAATCTAAGATGCTTAACATGCTGATGACTTTACTCTTTCTGAAAAGAAAGCCAAGATTTTAGACCTTACCAAAACTCTGATATCTTGTTTACTTTGCCCATTTTTGCCCAAATGGTGTAATGCAAGACTCAGAACTTCTCATTGTCATATATAAAATGAGTGGTGCATTACTCAACTCATTTGGGGACCATGAACAAATACTATCAACCAACCAGAACTGTAATGTTGAATTATCGTTTATCTTTTTCTTTCATTCATTCTATCACATTTGCATTAGCCAAAGAGATAAGAATATTAGTAATTCATATGTGTAAACAACCCAGAAGTGAATATTAAATCAGTGAGCCAAAAAGCAATAAACAACTCAAGCATGGGAAAACCTGCTAACAGTGGGGAGTCTGATGTAGAAAAAATATATAAAAAGCATTATCTTCAAATATGAAAGATTAATTTGTGTCTACTGTAAATATGTATTATCAGCCTTATCTGCTTTTATACACACTGTGTGTGTACCTCAGTGACCTTTTATAAGCCGGAAAAATGGTTGATTTAATAATTTGTTATGTAAATACAAAGTTGTCTATAAATTGGAAAATTTGATGCCAAATGGCTTCACAATATACAAATGTGTTTTGTAACATCATGCCTTTATGGATTAAGTATAAATATACTGGACTGTCTGTGGAGAAGAGTAGCAATTTACATTTCACCTGCATATCATATGGATATTTTTGTCCAAATGGTTATCCTATTAGAAAAAGAAAATGACCTGAACATTTTCAGTGTGAAAAACAAATATGGTTTTGAATTCACCAAAACTCCTTTTCACACTCAATAGTCTGCTCAATTGCGCACTAAATGCCTTGTTTTATGAGATTTCCATAGGAGATTCATTGATTCAGGATTGGGATCTACCTAGGAAACCTCCCCAAACTGAATAATTCTACTTTAGAGATAAGCTGAGCATCTTAATCTCTAAATCACAGGCAGGGGAAGATCCACAGCTTTCTTACTGCTTTTTAACTTATTCTTTTCTGCTTTGTTTCCATACTTCATGACGAGCCCCACATAGACAAAGAGGGCCTAGTTCTTGTGCGCCAAGGTGTCTACAGAATATCACTTCGACTCGGGGTTCCTCGGCACCAGCACTGTTGACATTGTGGGTGAGCTCATTCTTTGTCGTGTGGGCACCTGTGCATCCTAGGATGTTTAGCAGCCTCCCTTACCTCTCCCCACCAGATGTTAGGAGTGTCCCTTCCAAATTGTGACAAGCAATGATGACTGCAGCCCTTGCCAAATATCTCTAGGGGTAGGAGTGGGGGTGAGAGACAAAGTGAGATTTGAAAACCACAGCATTAATGGAATCAGTTATGGAACATATGTCTGTGTAAAATATGGGCATGTTTTGCATGCTATAATCAACAGGAAACTGATTCCAGGATCAAAATCCAAAACAAAACCCATGCCAAAGAAGTGCTTCTCAGTCCATGGTTAAAGGAAGTGTTATATTAGCTTCAGTTTTATTTGAACATGTTTGACACTTTTGATTATCAGATTGACCCAGGATAACCCATTTTGAGAACTCCCAGATAGGGCTTAGAATTACCT